ACTAAAAAGACATCATGTCACCTTCCATTCAATGATGGCAGATCGGAGAACTTGAGGGAAAAGTCTGAATGATAAAAGCACGAAGTTACCAGGAGCATGAAGTTGGTTTTCACATTCTCTGATACAAGAGCAGAGCCATACAAATGCAGCAATCTTTTCATGATGTAACCATCAATTACCAGCGTGCTGCAATGCAAAATCAGACACCTTCCCAACAGCCTGCATGTAGTTTAAACTACGCTCCCCAATGGCTCTTTCAATAGCAACAGCAGTTTAACAATTAGGCTTTATGTCTCTTTGGTCAAAATGACTCAACATGGACGCTCCCTTAAAGTCTAACAAACAAATTTGGTCCAACCCAGTTATGTCAATACGAAACAAAGGCTTTATCTAAGATCTGGTTTAGAGTTTTGTTCGGAGGAGATAAGTCCACACCATGATCAATGGGACCATAAAACTCCTGATGCAGTTTGTAACCTCTCCTCAAGGGAGAAAAAAGATGAAACTCGGCAGCCTATTTAAAAAAATACCATCGCATTCATTACTTTAATTTACACCGTGATACAGTCAGAATTCTTTCTAGTCTAATTGTCTCTTTGATCTCTTGACAGTACACCAAGCCCTCCACTTCACATACACTCTCCTCACCTTTGGCCATGAGCAAAATCTGAAGAAGCCATATATTCCCTCTGAGGTTTGCTCTCCTCAGTCTAACACTTCTCATCTCAACTGTTCTAGAAACAACTGCAGCTAAAGAGCCAAGCTGTGCCATCTTCATGTGATGCCACCAACGCTGCAAGGACAGTCGGTGTGACCGACCGCGAGGAAAGCACTGGCTTGGGCACAGATACCAGAACCTAGACCTGTACATAAACAAAACTGCTCTTCTCATTTGTATGGAATAAAAGAGTGAAAAATACAAACTAGGATGCACTGAAAATTATATACAACAACTTTTTTTTTTGTGGATACATGGAAAAATGGTATTTACTCTCCAGAAAGTACAAAATGACACTTCATAACAAGTGTAGTTCAGCTCATAGGCAAAAGTGAAGGCAAGAAACTTCCCTACAGTTCTTTATATAAACTTCCTCCTCGTTTGTCCATGCACCAGTTGCATCCATGCTGTTGTTCCGGTTTGTCATAAACGCAGTCACCTCGTAACCCCTCTTATCAAGCCATCTATGCACTACCTAAGAGTACACTACACTTCATCAGACAAGCTATAGGTTCACATTATACAAACATTCCAATTCTGCCTGCTCAGCGCAGGTTGTCAATAAACGCAAGCAATTGCAAAACAGCAATGTGTGTTTTTTTCCTTAAGCGAACACTGATACGAGCCTGCCAGTTCTGCAAAATAAACTCTTTGCAATCTCTGTAGCTAATCTGTCAACAAATTACTATTAAAGTCATCCCTCCTATAAGTTCAAAAGCATTCTGGGTTAGACAAAAGATCCCACGTTAACACACTCGGGGGGCAGGATTTGAAGGTACAGTATCAAAGTGGATCTTGCTATTGATGGAGGGAGGTTTGTATTCCTGCAGCACAGCACTTGGTGTCTTGCTGCTGCCTATCAGCATTCAACTTCATAATCATTCTCTTTGTTCAACTCATATTATTCTTTCTCTACTAACAACATGAAGAACACTTTAATGAACAGTCCCAAGGATGAAAATACATCATAATAAATAATATTTATTTTATAAGCTAAAAAAACCTGACTAGAACTGAAGCATCAAGCCTTCTATTTCTGCAGACATCAGAAACCACTGAAGCGGCTAAAGCTGTGATCATCTATGTTAACAGGCAGTCTGTCCCCACGACTTTATTCCTTGCTCCCTGGTAACCAAGCTGCCCCATCACTACACGCGTCCTGCCCCAGCCTCCCTGGCTCAGCCTGACCTGCAGCTCGTTTCTGCTCTGGCACCCGCTTTGCACCACGCACGTGTTCGGAAGGGTGCCCAGGAGTCACCAGAGATGCTGCCAGATGTACCTGCTGCCCTGCTCCCAGGCTTTCAGCCCCTCACTTCTGGCCCCGTGGGCACCTTGGAAGCAAGTTCATGAGCATTGCTGCCTGACTTCAAGCCAATCACCCGCTTCTGTGTCCTCAGAAAGTCTGATGACCCAGGGGACCCTCAGGACTATGCCAGGTGTTACAGGAGCCCACAAAAACCCTGCCCATTCCACTCAACTCTGCCATAAGCCATCCATTTCTGCACAGGGCCAATCTCCTATGGAGCCAGCAGTGACAGGAAGGCAATTCCTCCCACCCCAGCAGGTGCCAAAATCCCACATGAAAGTCTGCCTTCCCTCTTAGGTGAGGCCTGGGGTTGATTTTTCCCACACATATCTACATTCTTATACAATTCTTCCATAGGTGGTCCCAAAGGAGCCACCTGTACTGCTTTTGCTGTTTGGAAAGTATCTTGCTTCATGATTACAAAGAGAAACATCAGTGTGAGTTGTATGTCTCCGTTTTAGAAGACTGTTAACACCAAAATAATTTTGCACCACTCCACCTCCTTGTACCCAGAGATGACACGGAAAGCAAAACTTGCCCTATGAGCCCTCATGCACTTGCCACAAGAGAGCTCGCAGCACACGTCACTCCTTCAGACACAGGAACATCTGCAGTGCTCCAGTTTTCCATGATAAAATATTTACAAGTTTGTAGACCCATTAAAGCATCCTAAAAAATGTGAAGCATTTCTGTTTTCCTTTCTCATCGTAACAAAGCTATTAGTTCTCATAAATTCATAAATTTAACAAAAAATGTGAACCAGAACTCGATGCAGATGCTTTGCAGGAGCAGCTGTACGCGCTGCACCGCTCAGCCCTGCTCAGAGCCACCCTGAGCAGCACAGCCCAAAGGAGCGCCGCTGATTTTTGTTCAGACAAAACAAGTGCCAGGTGGCAAAAAGAAAAGATTTGAATGAAATGCTCTTAAGAAATAGCTGTTTAATTCAGAACTCATTCATTTGTATTGAAGAAGCGTTCTGTAGAACGCATTCTGTTAAGTGACCTGAGAGCATATGTTGTATATGGAGAAACATCTAAACATTATGCTCCGTGTTGCATGTGTATCTGTAAATGCTTGCATTAGCTGTCTGAAAACAACGGGTTTTTCTTCTTTTCATATTTAAAAATATTTTACAAACATAAAGATTGATATTTTTGTGCTAGCTCTGATTACTCTTTTGTTATCAGATCTTTCTGAGTAAGCGTTTCAAACTTTGCAATCGACTTGCTCTTCAAAGATAAACTAAAAAACTGGAAAGTTACCCATCAGAACCAACTACCAGCAAGATCCAATCACAAAACATAAAGGTCTTTTAAGCACCTGAGAACAGAGAGCTGATGGAACGTAGTCAATGGGCTGGCAGAGATGAGCAACCAGGAGCTGGGGCTGCAGAGCCACAGCAGAGCAGCTCTGGCTGTGCCCAGCAGCACTCACTGATCCTGCCGCTCTGTCACTGCTCGCATAGGCGGCCAGCGGCCAACAGTCTCTGCACATGGTTCTGGTGCTATGGTGAGGATTAGGAACGGAGAGCATAAGAGGAACAGCAGAGGTCTGCATGTTCTGGTCTGCAGTGCCCTACTGCGTGTGTGTGCACACATATGTGTGTGTTTGTGTCCTCTGTGCCTCACTGTGCACAGAGCGGGCAAGCGGCAGCACTGGAAAATTCCATCATGCCCCTATGGAAAGGCAGCGTAATTAACTCATTTTGATATCAAGCCTTTTTAAGAAGAGACCTTTGCGTTGAACATATTTTACTGTTCGAATCCTCTTCTACTGTCCTATATTAATCAAAGCTGTAACCCCTGTTGTCTTTGCACTACGAATCAGAATGTGCCCCTGGCGAAGAATGAGGGAAAAGTCAACAGGAATTAAGTTTCAGTGCAACTGTTTACTCAACTGTGGCCTGCAGTTATTGAAATTTTATCCGTGGTTTTGTGTGACTACTGCAGTAATGAATTCAGCATGGCTGTGATTTTCTCACTGATGGTATTCTCACTTCAAGTAAAAACCTGTACGATGAAAATAACTGAAACAACCAAAGTCTGTGCTTTTAGTGTCATCTGTTTTCCTGACTCGTTTAATTACGGCAGCTTTCTGTCTTAGGCTGGCAAACCAGGTCCCCTGCTCCTCGACAAGCCTCGAGTTTGCTTTGTTTTTGAGTGCAGGTTTTTCTTCTCCTCAACAACCAGCTAAAAAGATCACAGTGCGCTTAGGGGAGCCTTAACCAGCTGCCAATCGCTTATTTAAAAGGTTTTAAGAATGCTTATTGCATTAGAGAAAGTGAGGGTTAGGCTAAGTGTATTCACGGTGGCTCCACAGCCGCCTTTGTTCCCAAACACATTAATGACACGTGCCCAGCTCTTCAGCGTAAAATTTCCTGAGAGGCTTGCAAAATTTTATCAAGAAAAAAGACAAAATGTATTATAGGGATAATTCATACCGGTGAACATGGTCACTTCCCAGAAAATACACTGATCAAAATACAAAGGGAAAGCCCTGACACATAATTCTGTTGCTTCTTGTGAACTGAAAGGAGCACTGACGCACGGGGTGTTTATTTATTTACCCCAGAGTTCTGCCACAGCAGATACCTCCACGGCCTTTCTCTCTAATAGAAAACATTCTGTTGATAGAGGTTGCTAGGTTATATTAAAAATTGTTGCAAAAACAAAACTTAACGTTAGCGTGTTTTCCACCCAGTGACACACTTGGGAAACCAGTTATTTGTACACAGTGGCTCACCCGATTGCTGGCACCAGGCTCAGCACACTCAGAAGTCCAAAAGAACCCCAAGAAGAGAAGTCTAACGTTCCCCTGTACACAGCGACTGCAATCCTCTACAGACAAAAATGTACAGAATGTGGCAGGCAGGTCCTGAAAGCATCCTTTGATTGGCAAATACAAAGGGGTTGGAAGACGTTAAATGCTTCGTGTTTTTTTCTGTCAGAAGGAAAATTGTAATACGTCTTACAGTACCTGCTGTTGCTGAAGATGTGTTAAATCTGCAGCCCCAATTTCAACTGAAGGTGTCTCGCCGTTTGATCTCACCTCCCGTAGGCTGCACTCTAGTAAGTGGTTGCCACCGCTCGCTCCATTCTGAATGGCTGAACCGTTACTTTTTGTCTCAGTCCCAGATTCTTGCATCATGACTCAAAAACCTGAAATAATTTAGGGGAGGGGAAAAAAAAAAGCAGCTGTTAAAACAGTTGCTGTATATAAGGAGACATGCCCTGTTTTAAATCCTGCCAAAACTGTAAACATTTGTCATTTCCCTTCATACGATTTATCTTTCATTAATGGTTCATGCTACTAGTTTATGTTTATTTATCTGTTGGTACAGCTATAATTTTAGTAAGTCAGTTCAGTTCTAAATATAGCATTATTTGCTCAACATCTTTTTCCTCTTAGAGAAAAAAAAATTTCCAACGAACACACAGAATCCATAATTAAACTTCTCTAGTTCCATCTGGATGATCTCCTTTGCAACGGTGAGTCACCCCTTGCAACATGTGATGGACAACATCAAGAACCTGATACACAGTGTGCAGGGGCAGGTGAGGGAAGCAGTGCTCAGCACTTCAGATTTCATCCCCAACTTTTATTCCTATCAAGCAATTTTGACTGAATCTGGGATGTTCTGGAGCAAACTGCTTCAGCTGCTCATAGTCTTTTGGGCAATTATCTTGGATTGGGCTTGACTTCAGAGGCACTATGGCAATACAGCGAAGGGGCTTCAGATTTACTTGCAGCAAACTGTGTCTTTGATTAAATACCATCATGGTAGTTATTGTCAGGCAGCAGCATGCTGCCCTCAGCTCTTGGTGGACAAGATCTCCCAGCAAAGAGGAAGAGGAGGATTTGGAGCAGGACTGCCCAACTGCTTACCCTGGGTCTCTCGGGATTCGCGCATGTTTCTGTGAATTAACTGGCAGGACTCGAGCACAACAAGACCCCAAGTAAAGCATGTATGCCAATTTCCAGCTGTAAACTGCTACCTTTGAGAAGTCTGATGAGTTGTTTTAAGGGCATTTCCACCTGCTGGGCCCTACGTTACAGGATTTGCATGTAATCGGCATGCTTCCTCCAGCCCATCCCTCCCTCTGTCCATGCTCTGCCTCTTCAAGAGGAAGAACAAATATCCCTTCTGACACACAAGGGAAAATAAAAATCCAGAAGGGAGAGAGAAAACAATGCATTTCTAATGGAAAAGTACCAGGAGAAATCACTTTCCCAGGAAGTTCACAGGAGCACTGGCGGGGGACAAGGACTCCTTCCATCATCACCCCCTCAGCAGTCATGACCATCAACCAGAGATGAATCAAGAAGGAATTCACGCAACTCCTTTCCTTCCATCTGAATTTGGGGTCAAGGCTCAAGACACAAAGTGGAGTATTTCACTCCCTTACCCCAGCATGAGAAGGACCAGTAAGACTGCATTAGGTGAAACCCAGAGGCTCATTTTCATGGGGATGGCACCACCATGCATTGCTCCGAGGCAGAGCACCTGGCTGAGCACGAACACATAAAGAAAGGGCTGCAGGGCCTCCAGCAGATACCACCATGGAAAGAGATGTTAAAAGCAGTACGTTCAAACAGTAAAAAAAAAGGACTTTTCATTCCCAAACTCTTCTGATGCAACAGATTGACTGGAGGCAAGAACCTGGACAAACTACTACGGAGGGGAGGGGAAAGTGCCGACCAAAGCTTGGAGATGCTTTGACAGCAGAAGAGCAATGCACTGCACCATGGAGCAGATCCATCATTGCCCAACCACTATTTGTTGGCTTGCTCTTCTGAGCAAAATATCCCCAGGTCACAGAAAATAATTCACAAAGAAACTGATCAAAAAATTATTTATTGCCTTGAGGACTGCAGAATGCTCCTGGAAAGAAACAACAGTAGCAGTTGCTACAATTTTTCCACCCTACGGGACTGAGAAAAGGATGGATTATTTCTAGGATATGGCAACAAGATCACTGAGCTCCTGAAAGCTTCCTCCAGGACAGACTTCAGGCTCCCTCCTGCACCCCGAGTCCCACAGGCAGTGCCCACCTGAGCAGCCGTGCCACCCAGCATTTCCAGCAGCACTGCCAGCACTGCTAGGAACGGAGGGTGCAAAGCAAGCTCAAGGACATTAAAAAGAAAACTGGGGTGACTTGCACTCTCAGGCTCTTTTCACTCAAAGAAGCTAGTTTGAAAGCAGAAGTGAACATCTCTGAGCAAATTTTTACTTAAGGATGCCCATTTACGGTCAGTTGTCTTCAGTATGCCTTCAACTGGACACAATACAAACCAAATCTACTCTCTACTCTGCTGAAATGCCCTCCATGGAAAACAGGGTTTTCAAGGGTGTAAAGATAAAGCTGTTTATTTCTTCACCGTAGTCAAATGCGAGCTGACATAAATAATCACGGTTTGGTTTGATCATTACGCGTCATGTCATGAAAATCAACCTGCGAGAGCTTTCTGCAAGAATGATTATTACTTGTGTGTTTGAGCACACCTAAATGAGCGGAGGTGACGGTGCGCCGAGGATGGCTGAGATAATTGTCTCACTGCAGCACAGAGGAGCAGGCCTTGCAGAAGCCTATTAGTGAGGTCTGTCATTCAAAATCGCCAAAGAGAAAAGCAAATCAAGGTTGACTTCATGCGACACGATTACGCTCTGCGGCAACTGAGGGGAAGCTCTGTCCCTAGTGCCACTGTGACTCTGGCCTGAGCACAGCCCAAAGTGAGCAGAATGGTACCAAAGAAGCCGTTATGCATAATGATTTCCTATAGGAAATACTGTACTGCACAAAAGCTTCCACGACACACAAGATATTCCGACTTACGAAACTGAACAGCAAAGGAACACATCTGTCTGGTGCATTCCACAAAGCAGAATGACTCTCGTATCAATTCTGCAAAGATAAATGCATTTTAACAGCTAAAAATAGATGGGCTCTTATCAACATGAGTATCTCTTTTTTCAATAGAAAGCTACACTATTTCACACCAGGGGTGGAATGACTCTTCACATCGCAAAGGTGACACAAGATGTTTCTCCCCTGCTCAGGGTCCAAAGCTAAGCTGCAGTATAAACAACAACAAACTTCTTGTAAAATTTAATCCTGGAATCCAAGGGCTGGTATCAAACAAACTGCTCTTCTATCACTTAATGTCAGCTTCATTTAAAAATATCACAACAGAGATCGATTTTTTCAAGATTCTGGTCTTAAGCTGCACAAAACCTTTTCCAGTATTGATGCAGAGCCAAAGCCAAAGCCACAGGGGTTTGGACTGTCTCTGTTTAATACCTTATGTTCAAGGCAATGGGGCAAAACTTTGGTGGAGAGGAACCAAAGCGTGGCACGCTATCAACAGCAGGACAACAGCAGCCATCTCCCAGATGATTTGGAGACAGCTGATTTTTCTGAGGGCACAGTCACAACTGAGAAGAGCACAGGTCAGATGTGAACTTTGGCTGACTGAAAATGATCTTCCTGAGGATTCCGGTGTCAGTGTTTGGGGTCAAAAGACAGAACCTGAAGGAGTCCTGATTTTAAAAATGCTCTGTGCTAACGCTAATAATCCATTTTTTAAAAAGTCTTTAACATCACGAAGACCAGATGCTGCAGATACACATCCCTTAGCACCACTGGGCTGTTCAGACGAGCAAGGTTAAGCACGGAGATCAGCAGGCAGGGCAATGAAGTGTGCAATTTCTGCAATTCTGCTACCAGCACACTTTCTAAAGACCAGGCAGCATTGTTTAACGTCAGCAGGAGGGAGGATTTATCGAGTGACGCACCCGTCAGAGCCCCTACAAGTCTGAAAGGCTGAAGGACAGAAACTCAGCTGTGTTTGGATGCCATCCCATACTATGAGGCATCTGGTGAGATACTTTCAAGACTCCTCAATAAGCAAAAAGCACCAATGGACACCTTAAAGAATCTCATCAGCATTAAAACGCTACCCCTTGGGACCGGGGACATCCTGCTTTAAATACGCTTCCAGACCCAGCCTGGGCTACGTTCAGATGATGATTTTGTTTCGGCTATTAGCATTTCGAGGTTCATCTAAATACACACAGAATCTCAGAAACATTAAGGCTGGCAACGACTGCTAAGGTCATCCAGTTCAACTGCCGTAAGTACTGCACCTACACTTTCCTTAAACACCTCCAGGGACAGTGACTCTGCCACCGCTGGGCAGTCAGTTCCAGTATCTGACTGCTTTGGAGAAGAAATTCTTCCTAATATCCAACCTGAATCTCCTCTAGCACAACTTGAGGCCGTTCCCTCTGGTCCTATAGCTAGTTACCTGGGTGAAGAGGCTGGCCCCCATCTCATCAACCTCCTATCTGCACACAGAGTTCATCCAGCATTTCTGTCCCCTGGGAACGATGCTAGAACAAAAACGTTGTCATAACACATCCCCTCTTTGTCACATTTGTGAAAGATTTTATGCTAACAAAAAGTTCAGTCTTTATTCCAGGGCAGTTAATTAAGGTTGACCAAGTCAGGCAGAAGTAAATTAACTTGGCTGATCAATTATTTATATGAAGCAGAATAAATGCCCTTAAAGAACTTGGCCCAGCCATAAAAGCATGTGTAAATTAAGCTAAACAGAGATTTATAAAACATATTTCTACTTGTATGGAATAGTTAGTGGTAAAATCAGCTTTAAGTAAGTGATCAAATGACAAGATCTAGTCCTAAATCTCTAGCAGGCTCACTACCATACAGGCATCATTAATAAGGGAAAATTTTAGCTATTTGTTGCAAGCAGTTGCCCCAAGCAAGCTTAGGACTAACTTCTGAGCGCTCCTCTGTCAAACTACAAAAACAGAACAGTGCTTGGAAGCACTTCACAGCAATGCAACGCTACAAAGGCAGGATTTCGCCTCTTGAAAACTAACGTGCTCCAGAGCACAAACAGCAAGGCAATACGAGAGCAGGAGCAAAGCTGCTTCTTACCAATTGCACCAGTACAGAAGAAGCACAAAGGCAGCCTGGTGCTCCCCACAGCACCATCAGCAATGGGGATTACGACGGCTTTCTGGGACATCGCTGACGGACCCTTTCAGGCCCGGTATCCCTGGGGCAAGCACCACAGGCTCCAGGTCCCACCAGCAGCACTGCTGAGCTTCTCCAGGAACGTGCTTTCCGTGGTG